TCAGGCACACTCAACTCAAAACTGCACTTCGAAGACACAACCAGCTTAACTGTAAAGTTAAGCTACTCTGCTATAAGCAGCTTATTCGTCCTCTCCTCACTTATGCCTTTCCTATTTGGTCTGCCATCACCTCTGCTCAGATGGAAAGAATCCGCCTGTTTGAGCGGAAACTTCTCCGTGATTGCACCAACTATAAACGCAAGCCCAACGGCAAGCACTTTCCTATCTCCACTCTGTACCACAATGCCAAGATTACTCGTGTTGATGAGTACCTTTTGACACTTGCCCGTAGGTATCTCACCCGGCTCCACGACCTCCCTCCTGATGTCTCTTGTCCAGATACTCTCCCAGTAGACCTTGTTCTAGCTTTACGTTTTAAACCTCCACAGTACCTTCTCCACTATTTTGACGAGCTGGGCCAAAATCCTCTCGCTATTCCTCTCTTTAACCGCGGCTTTCGTGACCCTGGTCACAAAGTTTATCACTAGCCACACCCCCGCTAACTAGCCGTAACCCCACTACCTTCATTATCATCCTTTCTTCTTAATTCATGCCCTTGCTTTCTGACTTAGATGAACCTAGTTCACCTAGGTATTAAGTCTATCTACTTTCTCTCTCCCCTGATTACTGGAATGAAGTTCCCACATTGCTGTGGGAATCTTCTCCATTCATTCCTAAGAGGTGGTTTTAGTGGGTTCAAGTCTCACACTGCGGCTTTCGATGCTTTCCACCTACCGCAAAAAAAAAAAAAAAAAAAAAAACTGATCCAGATTAAAGTCAATCATAATATATGTAACCTCTTAAAAGTGATATAGGTGAATACTTTTAATTATTTTAATTTGAAAGTAAAAGGTAATTACTTTTAATATTAATTTTATAATTGTATACTATAAACAGACAATTTTGTTCACAAAACTGAGGTAACTGACCTGCTAAGTGATGTTAACTTCCTTACCACCTCCATTAAATGGATCTGTTTATAGACATTTGTTTAACGTATACATAAAAAACATTAATTTAATTAAAGAGCGTATTTAATATAATGTTGACGTTAAGAGTTTGTAATATCTACGTCCGAAGTCTGGTTTGCAGATTGGCTATCCGATAATATGGGTACATCATTTTTGAATGTGTGGTCTACACGCGTCAAGACAATTGAATAATACAGGATTCACAAGAGAGTTTGGCTTACAATTTTGACTGTCATGTTTGTAATTTCAGCTGTCAATTATTATTACTTTCAATACAAAATGAAACTGTCGTGTGAATCTAGTATAAGGTTAATTAATTCAAAAAGTTTTCAATTAAGTTTATCCAATTATAGTTTTTAATCTATGTGTCTATGTTAATCAATATAGTCTATGAAACTTCATTTACCTCAATATAAATTTTTTAAGAAAGTTAATTTTTCCTTAATCATAATAATATAAAGGGCATTAAAACTTTAATTTGAATAATTGTTTTAATCTGCTCTTAATCTTATAGTGTAAACATAGTATATAAGTATGTACTTAAAATTATTTAGTCATTTGAATTCTTAATCTCCCTACCTTTGAAAAAATATCATATATATTGTTTAAAGGTTGTTTTAAAATTTACTTATTTTTTTTTTGTTCATGAACAACGTTTCATTTTTTTGCTCTCATACATTTATTAATATTAATTAATTCAAAATTTAGAATTTTTTTAAGAGCAATATTTATTGTATGAAGAATTCGTAAAAAGTGAGTGTCCTGAAACTTCTGAAGGAATTTTCGGTAAGTATTTCTAAACTAAGTCAATACTTGTTTAGACTTTATTATAATTAAGTAGTGTTTTAGTGATTATTTATAAATCTGAGTCCTGTGATCTTTAAATTTTGCAGCTATTCTGTCCTTATTCAGTTGTTTTGAAATAAGTATAGTGTATTGAGTAGTGTGTATTGGTATGACCCATTATAATTATATTCATGTTAAGTACATTACAAAGTCACATAGATAAAACTTGAAAACTTCAAAGCCTTTTTTTATAATAAACCATATCTTGTATGTTGACACTAACTAAAATTCTTAGTTGTTGATATAAAATGGGAGCCTACTGTCGATAATTATTTTAATCTACTCTTAATCCCATAGTGTAAACGTAGCGCTATTTAACGATTCGAATTTTTAATCTTGTTACCTTTGAATAATTTTATTTATATTATATTGTATTATAGTTATTTAATATTTCTTAAATTATTTATTTATTTTTTCAGTAAAAGAACGTTTCGTTTTTTGATCTAAAATACATTTATTGTCAGTTAATTCCAAATTTTGAATAATTTCTGTCAATACTACTATATATGTATATATTTCATAAGTGGATGATCTAAATATTTTTTGAGGACTGATTTTGGGTGAGTACTTAAGTGCCATCAAAGCCTGTGTTTATGTATTTTTTCTTAAAATTAAGAAATTTAGACATTTTTCTTATATTTCATATTTCCGAGTCTTGTAATATATTATAAAACTATTAAATATATTTATATTAGTTATTATAATATATTACTGTTTTTGAAACATATTGCATATTGGTAAGATCCCTCCCGACTGTGTTCATATTAAGTTATGTAAAGTTATATAGAATGAGCTTAAAGTAAAGGTTATAAGAGAGAAGGAGAGGAGAGTAGGAAAGTTTTTAAAGGTGTTCGTAAAAATATGTTAAAAAATATTTTTTTTTGACAGCAAAAACTAAATTTTTTTTATCAATTTTAATTCGTATCACTAGATTATTTGGTTATAAAATATTTTATTTTATTATAAAATAAAAAAACACGTCTAGGCAGGCCAAGAACCAAATTACAACGTTAGCTTTGCAGCACTTCTTCCTTGGGTTAATTACTTTATAGATACGTTCTACAAAAGAACTACTGACCGGAGTGAACACAGGGCAATCACAAGCGGGCACCATGTATCCACTATGAGTATTACTACAGATTTAACATACCTAACATGTCTCGAGAATTTGGCAATTCATTACTTATTATCTTTTATTGCCCAGGCCATTTCTTGATCTTGTTCTTGCATAGATTAAGAAATGCTTATGGGTCCATGATAATAACAAAGCTCCAGTTTGTTGAGTTCAATCAGTGACTAGAGGACTGGGCACCAATATATAAGATTGAATGAAATGTTGGGTTATGATGTTCTGGCCATAAATAATAATAAATTTTTATGTATTTAATTAATATAAACAATTTAATTCTTAATATAATTAAATGTCATAAATAACCTCTTAAGGAAATTATATTGTAATATAATTTCAGATATCTGCTTTGTTATCAAACAAAATTGTGATAGTACCTAGTCCTGCGTGGTTTGTGAAAAGTTAGAAATCTGAACTTATAAGTTATTTTCAAATTGAACTGTAAGTACATCTGCAAGTTATTTCAGTTAAGTATTTTACTACCGGATGAAGTTAAACAGTTCTAGGAGATCGAAGAACAAATTACTAACCAGAGCTCATAACTTTTCTTAATCCTGACTGTAAGTCATCTTTGCAAATCGTTTAATATATTTATTTAATTAATTGAAACATAAAATATACTGAGAACTAATGGTAGTCTTTTATTACAAATAATAGAATGAGCTTCGTTACTGGATAAAATTGTCCTGGGGGATTGGAGAACAAATTAGTAACCAGAGCTAATATTTTTTTGAACTTCGACTGTTAGTATCTTTGCAAATCATTTAATATATTTATTTAATTAATTTAAACATATATAATTCTATAAACTAGAATGAGCAAATAACTAATAAATTATTTAAGATATATTTTTCGGTCCTAGATCAAATTGTCCTGGGAGATTGGAGAACAAATTAGTAACCAGAGCTCATACTCTTTCTTAACCTCGACTGTAAGTATCTTTGCAATTTATTTAATATATTTATTTAAATATATATCATAAATAAAAAATTAAATTAGTTATCTTCTTTATAACCGAAGAGAATGGTCCTGGGAGATTGGAGAACAAATTAGTAACCAGAGCTCATATTCTTTCTCAACCTCGACTGTAAGTATCTTTGCAATTTATTTAATATATTTATTTAAATATATATCATAAATAAAAAATTAAATAAGTTATCTTCTTTATTACCGAAGAGAATGGTCCTGGGAGATTAGAGAACAAATTAGTAACTAGAGCTCATATTCTTTCTCAACCTCGACGGTAAGTATCATTGCAAATTATTTAATATAGTTATTTAATTATATATCATAAATAAAAAATTAAATTAGTTATCTTCTTTATTATCGAATAGAATGGTCCTGGGAGATTGGAGAACAAATTAGTAACTAGAGCTCATATATTTTTTCAAACTCGATTGTATGTAAGTATCTTTGCAAATTGTTCAGTTAACAACTTTTGAGCAATTATAAATGATCTCAAAATTATTTTAGAAAACTGTTGGCATAGTGTATATCGCTTTGGTTCCAATAGTGTATATTGCTTTGGTGTTCCAATTGGCATATATCACTGACGAGGTTTTGGACATTAAGCTCGTTCACATTTCGAATTGTAAATATCTTTTTACATATCCTTAAACATCCACTTTATTATGACTTTAATTACTTTTAAATACATTTAATTACTTTGATTTTAATTATTGATTACTTTGATATATTAATTAAATTATTTTAATAATTATTTGGGTTAGTAAAAGTGCTACTGGATTTTGGTTAGTGGCTTGGCTTCTTAAGCCAATAACTAGAATTTTATTTATAGATTTTTCGAGAAGCATTTTATGCTAAACAAAGGAAGCCCATATATACTTTGGCCGCATAATATAACAAGACCTAAAAAATTATTAAATAATTCTAATTAATAATAATGAAATGAAATTAATGACAAATATAACAAATAAAAAAACTATTTTTTTTTAATTAATAAAAATTTAATATTTCAGGAAGCGGTTGTTCAATCAATAGAATCTTGGCGACTTCTAATAATATTCTGTCTTAACTGGGGAAATATTGTATTACCGGGAAGATTACGTAAGTTAATTATTAAAGTTATTCAAATTATATGTTAAGTTATTAAATTAGTATTATATTTGATTATTTCTTTTATACTTCAATTAACCTTATAGTATGTGTATCATTCGATTTATGAAGCAAATACATAAATCATGAAAAATAGAAAGAGATTATATATAAAGGGCATTCAGGATCTTTTGTTACAAGTTCAGTAACGTAGTAATATAGTTATAGAGCAGTGTTAATAATAAAAAAATATATATATATTTTTCTATATATATATTTATATATATACAAAATATATAAATATATTACCTGACAGAACTTGTTCCTCGAGATCGTTTATTAAAATAAAATACTGTCTTTTATCAATACCTGAGATGAAAATATCTCAAACGATATACTGAAAGCATTGGAATGCAGCCTTTGAAATGGTTATGGACTCAAGATCATGATGATGACAGAGCTCCAATCTTGCAGCTCTAGTCTATTGAGTTCAATCAGTGAGTGGAGTTCTAGACACTAAAATAAGATTGAATGAAATATAGTGATAAAGTTTTATCAATAATACTGAACTATTATAGTGTAATGTCTTCGTAAAAAGATATTGTTATGGAATAAAATTTGACGTGTGGTTTGAAGTTTGATTTCTTAATATATAGAGCTTGATCTTTTTAGCTGTTGTATTAGATGGCGTAAGGGTGGAGTTCTGTATAAAACCTTATATTATTATTTTTCTCGTTCTATTTTTTTTTATATTATTTTTAGATCTATTAGTATTTCTTACAGAAATAAGCCGCCTTAATTTTTATTTATTTTAATTGCAGGAAAGTTGAGGTGAAGGGTGTGATCCTTACGTTGATATATAATATATGAAAGCTCTTTTACATAGACTAGTTTGCTCAAACAAAAAAAAACATGTCTTGTCCAAAGAAATGCCCAAAGAAGAAGCCCAAACCGGTAAGTTCCAACGGATTTTTAAATTTCCTGAAAGAATATTCAAAAAAACAATGCGGCAAGTCAGCTATTCAAATTGTGGTGGCAGGTGCCAGAAGATGGAATTGTATGTCCGATAAAAATAAGAAGAAATATAAGGTATATAATTTGTTTTAATTTTATAGTCCTATTAAAAATCATTATTGTTATATTTATATTAAATTCAATTCTATTATAAAATATTTTCTCTTTGCATTGGAAGTGTCCGCAACCGAAAAAAAATCCATGCGCAAAAAAGAAAAAAAAATGTGCACCGAAAAAGAAGACATGCCCTAAGAAAAAGAAGAAAGCCTGCCCAAAGAAAAAAAAAAGTTGTCCACCAAAGAAAAAATCTTGTCCAAAGAAGAAGAAAGCATGCCCAAAAAAGAAGAAAGCATGCCCGAAAAAGAAGAAAGCATGCGGTGCAAAAAAACCTAAATGTACTAATCCAGGACCAATAACTAATAACGCGTATCTGAACTATATACGCACGTTCCGTCGTAAAAATTGTGGTCTTGACCCTAGAGAAATTTTTAAAAAAGCTGCTAAATGTTGGTGTAAACTTACACCGGAACAGCGTTTACGTTACCAAAAGCAGGTATGCATATCAAAATATAAAAGTTGTAGAATTCATTCATATTATATATATTAATTTATTAAAAGGCCTGTCAAGTCACGACCTCCTGTCGCAGGAAGAACACTCAATTGTGCAAGTGCGCAAGGAAGTCAAAGAAGAAGAAGGCATGTTCTTAAGATGTTTTATAAATAACATTTGTGTGGTGAAAAAAAATATATGTCAAGGTGTGTATGAGATAACATCTCATATTATCTAATGTTAATGAAAATTTGATGAATTTTTGACTTATAAAACCCACAAATGATATAATTCGTAACAACCAGCCATGACAAAACCTGGGCATATGTAGATACATATGTCGGTGATGCTACATATTGTATGATGGTGGCCTTAAGAAACTAGATGTGACCTACTTGCTAACTGGACAATACAGATAAGACGAAACTGGGGATGTAAAGAAAAAAATGATGGATCGATGATAGGATATCGCGGATTACAACTAAGTAGCTAGTCGTTAGAACGATGGTCTGGAGACTATCCACTAACTAAATTTACGTACAAAATTGTTTATTTATAAGTATACATATTAATTATTAATATGTATTTTGTGTGTGTGTGTTTTATAAATGGGATATAATTTTATTTTTCTAAAAATATAATTAAAAGAAAAATTTTACATGTATAACAAATTAACAAAATTTGAACTATGAATATAAATTAAATTAAATAAAATGAAGAAATTACAAGTTAACAAAAAGAAAAGAAAGAATAGTTTTTAGTTGATATATGACAGCAATATTCAGATAAGCGGGGTTACTTATTTTTATAGAAACAATTAATAAAATAACTTATTTCTATTCTTATTATGCCTTTAATATAACAAAGCAAGTGAATTTGTTAATTAACTTTCAGAGTAAATTAACAAAACTCCAAAGTGCGAACATACAAGGCAAGTACATCTTTGGGTCAATTGAACGCTGACTCTGAGCTTCCAATTTAGCAGGGTACGAGTTCAACTTTTGGTACTTGCGGTCTCAAAAAATTATTTATGAATAATTCAATATAAGAACTAATTTGAAGACTACTGGTGAAGGTTATTTGACAATACTCGCTGTATGGTCAGTCAAAAATTTTATTAAATAAAATTAATAAAAGTTTTTGTTGTTATAATTCAATAGTGTTCGAAATCAAAGCTTGAATTTTTATTAATTCATAGTCGTCTGGTTTTCTGAGTGCCCTTTTGCTTTTGCGTGTTTTAGGAACTACTGAAATAAGTACCTTCCAATGCTTTCTTTTGGATAGGTATAGCACAGAGGAAAACTTTTTTGAAGTCCTCTTATGCGTGGTATAAGAATTTTAGATTTAAATATTTTTTAATATTTCTTTTTAATTTATGTTCTTCTTATGAGGTACAACCAATGCAGTTGTATCTGATGAGGGGTTCTAGCACTTGATTATAGTATTTTTGTGAATCCTATAATATTTTAATATTTTGAATTGATTCAAATACGTTTTAGTAGAGCACAATTTTCTTAAATATAACAAAGTTGATTGCTTCTGTTGTTCTTTATTAATCATATCTCACTCTAGTATGGTGATATCACTCTAGTTAAAGTATTGCTATATGTACAAATACTCTTAACCTTACATGGAAACTGTACGTTAGCTTTTGATATGCTATTCTGTCTTGTTACCTTATAGTCCAGTCAGTGGAGTATTCTTAGCCTAATATTCAACTTAACGTAAGGATTTCGTATCCCATCCTCTATAGTCACTTTATAGTTCTGTCATTGGAGGAGGATTTTACCTGGAAAAGGTGGTGCAGAAATGATTTTAGGATATGCTGTTATATCAGTTTCCAATAGTCCAGTCAGTAGAGTATTCTTAGCTTTATAATCAGCTAAGTAAGGTTTTTGGGCCACATTCTCTTTAGTCACTTTATAATTCAGCCAGTGGGGGGTTTTAGCTTGCAGAAAATGGTGAAGAAATAATTTGAGGATATGTTGTTATATCAGTTTCCTATAGTTCAGTCAGTGGAGTATTCTTACCTTTATATTCAGCTATTAGTAAGGTTGGGGGTTTTAGCTTGCAAAAAATGGTGAAGAAATAATTTTAGGGTATGTTGTTATACCAGCACTTTGTAGCCCAGTCAGTGGTGTGTTTTCAGAGTTATAATCAACTTTACACAAGGTTTTGGATCCCATCTTCTACTGTCGCTTTAAAGTTCACTCAGTGAAGGGTTTCACCTACAAAAAGTGGTGAAGAAACGGGTCTTGGGTATGTTGTCACAACAATAAATAACAAATTGTATTATGATTATTATGATTTTCAACATTTCAACGTTATCCTATTATTTTGGTTGGAAAAAAAAATTTAAAAAAATATTTTTATAGCAAGATAATTTTTATCCATGTGTATATGCGATAATTATTTATGGAATACATTTCTGTATTTATTTTTTCTATTATTAAAAAAAAACTAAAATCTTACTAAAAGTAAGATACACTTTTTAGAATTAAAAAGGCTTCATGTCTGAAATAATTTTCGTGTCTTAAGGGTTTCAGTTGCTTTTGTCAGTATATCTCCTCAACCTAAGTCAATCATAAGCCATATCTCAAACTTGTTTTCATTTAGCAATACTAATTGGTAATATCAATTGATTATATGTATGCTAGATTGTATCTACACTATACCTTATTTACACTACATTGTCTATATTTAAACAATAATTATTAAAATAATAAATACACTTAATACTTCAAGATAATTATTTTTATTACTCAAGCGATTATATTTTTATGCTGTGAGAGACAAAGAAATTTTTAAAATTTTCTCATAATTAATTTAAGTTCTCTTGAGCATTGTGAATTGCTGCTTCATGCGTCTTTCCAGTAGAAGGAGTTCCAGTTTAAAAAATGTTCAAGAGATACGGTTGTCTCAAACGAAAAGCTCAAGAACAAAATTTATTCTCCCGTTAAGCACTTTTGAACTCCGTATCTTTTATTTTCTTTTCCGAACAAGTTTAATTATCAGTGCAACGTAAGTACAAGATACACAATCTTGATCGATGGGTGGTTAAACTCTTAAACTTGTTTTCATTTAAAATATACAAAATATTTTCATTTCAGTTAAGAATTTGCACTCGAAGTGAACTGAACGTTGGTTTGTTAGACAGTTCTCATTAAGTTCATAATTTTAAAAAAAATAATTAGTAACTAATTATAATATCTAACATGCAACGTTGGCGTGGCAAAATAGCAGTTGTAACTGGTGCCAGTTCCGGCATAGGTTGGTGTGTAACCAAAGATCTCATAGATGCTGATATGTTTGTAGTAGGTTTAGCTAGACGTGTCCCACAAATGGAAAAATTACGTTTGGAACTGGAAGAAACGAAACGTGAAAACTTTTATCCACACGAATGTGATTTAGGTTCATTAAGTTCTATACAGGCAGCATTTGCTTGGATTGAGGAACGTTTTAAAAAAGTTCATGTATTAATAAATAATGCTGGTATGTCAGAGCATTCAAAACTCTTAGATGAAGGCAATGAGGAATTATTGAAACGTAATGTGGATGTAAATCTTAATGGTACTATATTTTGCACTAAAGCTGCTTATCGTCTAATGAAAATTGCCATGAATGCTGGAGAGGAATGTAACATTATTAATGTCAATAGTTTACTTGGACATCAAATACCTTTACATATACCAGATTGTGGTTTAAATATTTATCCTGTTACGAAACATGCACTACTAGCAGCAAATGATGTGTTGAGACGAGAACTCTATGAACATAAATTGATGCGTTTGTGTGTAAGTTGAGTAGAGCTTGACGATAACTGGAAGTAACTAATGTAATGATCTTATTTTTTATTTATGCCTTTTTGTAGACAATTAGTCCTGGTTTAACGCAAACTAATTTTGGTGCTACAGCTTTTGATGATAAAACACTGCGCGCATTGCCCACTGCTGATGATATACTACAACCGGAGGATGTGTCACGTGGTGTTGTATTTATACTTTCCTCACCCTTGCATGTCACAATTGCAGATTTAGTGATGTTGCCTTCACGTGAGAAGTACTGAGATGTGAAATATACTTCACTTTTCAATTGTATCTTAATTGATTGTATCTCAAATAAATTGTATCTTAAATTTTAATTTTTAATCTAAATTAATATAACAAAATTTTTTAAATTAAAGAGTATTATACAAAATTTATTTACATAGCATTTTAAAAAAAGTATTTTAAGTAAATTTTTTGCGTTAAAAATTAATTTTTAAAAATAAAATTTTAAATCCGTTTAAATCAAATTAAATCGACCTTAGGTCACTTGTCATGTATAAGCCAATAATTAATAAAATTCGTTTAAAAACAAAGCATAAGTTAAAAGCTTAAAATATCATTTTTTTTTGCGTTTTTTGAGTAGCAATAAAATAAAATAATTTCCAAAAAAAATCTCAAAAGAATTTGCTAAAGAAAATCTTCCTTCTCCGCTTTCCTATCTGAACACAATGTCATACTTCATTTCACTACACCTCCATATCATCATCAGAACGTTTGCCTTCTTTCCTAAGTGCTTCCTCCGAATTTAATTTCGTCTTCTCTGTGCGTGTATGCCACACCAACACATCTCGGCATTTATTTGCCAATGGCTGCAGTTGTTTGCGCGTTGTGAGATGCCTCAGAATTTCACTTTCTTGATAGCCACGTTGCACTTCGTATGAGAAAAGCGCTTGTGGATATTTAAAAAAAAGATCAGTACTTATTGCAAATGCCGCCATATCAACTGGAAAAGGTCTTTCTGGTCGCCAAGCAGCATTGAAACCTATAACTTCAGTATTGTCTGCACTGAGCAAAGGTTTCTCTACCATTAAACCACCAACAAGACCAACTGGCCACACACCCACACGTTCCGCTTCAATTTTATTCATTTCAGCAAATAATTCTACACTATAAGAATTATCATCGTCCATGAAAAATACGATGCTATGCTTTTCGGGATCTACATTACTGCGCAACCATGTCAACGCCAAATTTCGCTGTTCAACGCCGCGTGGCTTTATCCAGTTGGGATCTTTGTTTTGCAATTTAAATGCTTCCGGCGTTTTAATATTTAATTGTGTGGAGCGTTGTGTGAGACCAGCACGTTCTAGCAAATTACGCACAAGCATTGTAGTTGCATTTGCATCTTCTATTAATATCCAATGCAGATTGGGTACGAGCATAAACAGGTGTGAGAGTCTAAAAAAAGAATAACACAGCAAGTTGAAAAAATTTAAAAATAGAAATACTTAAAGGGGCACTGACCTTGTTAATTCGGCTTTTTGTGCTGGCCGTGCGTACGTTGGCGTTATGGCGTATATTTTTGGTAGTGAGTTGTCATTTTGTGCTTCGTACATGGCCTGCAGGTACGCTGGACCTTGACAAGTTCTCTTACCATTTCGATGTACCAGCAATAAAATAAATAAGAATACTACTATTAATATTAATACTTGACGTGGCCTAATGCGCACCTCCGACATTTTTTATTTCGCAAAATTTTGTCTTTTGCAATTGAAAGCAGGAAATAACAACTTAAAATGTTGTAAATAATTAAACAAACAATAAACACGGTCAACTCATTTTCAGTTACAACGTAGCTTGACAAACAGCTGATTTCACAAGTGGGTATGTCATTTGTCATTTACTTAGACCAAATGAACAGTGTTGAGAGCATGTTCAGTAGCATGGAAAGTGTTAGAAAACGATGTGTATTTTCAATGTAGACCAAATTTAAGGTTGTTGTCATGGCTGTAATAATTTTAAACGAATTTTTTAGCAATTGTTAGAACCATGTAAACAAAAATTATTTTGTGGGTGGTTTTATTTTGTATTTCAAGATTGACTAGAAATGTTCCTGTGATTAACGATTTCTTGTCATTTCGCTACGGATATGGGAGCGTTTTTAGCTCTTATTATGGGTGCCTCAAAGGAAAACCTTGATGGCGTGGACCTTTGCTAGGAAAACAGCGGTCTAATCACCCAGTACGAATTGAAAACTATATTAGTATACGATTTAAGTGCCTTGTTCGCTGCTGTGGTGCAATGAACTACTTTTAATTAAGTAGAGGACCAAAAGATGGCTTACTGGTGTAGTGAATGTAAAAAAATTTTGGATTAGCATTATAAAATCAACCCATTGGTCAAGGACTAAAATTAAGCATTAACTATTTTTATTAATAGGATTATTTATAGAGATTGGTTTTAAGAGGTTCAAGAACTGATTCAAAGTTTTTATGAAAACATTGAATGTGAAACCGTTTAAAAAATTTTAGAGAGACTTGATCCTCAACCACCCTTACTCCATCAATTGCTTAAAGTTCTATTCATAACGACTTCAGATACCCAATATTTGATAAGAGTTATTTTTAATAAATTAATTTTTTTAAATAAATAAAAGAATAACATTTAATTTTTAATATATTTATTTATTATTTTATTTACTTTTATTTATTTATTAAATTTTATTATAATTTTCATTTTCATATATTATTAATTAATATATTAATGTTTTGATTGAAATGGCATGTTTCGGTAATACTTGAAATCTTGAGCTTTGGTTAAATAAAAATTTTGAAGTAATTTTATTACATTTGAATTACATAAAACATTTACTTATATATCCGAATATATATATATTAATTTAATAGTTTTACAAAGTACGAGCATATTTTTCTTCATGTATACATATATATTTTTTTTTAAATAAAAATATTTATTTTGAAATATGTATAGTTTTGTGTAATAATCTTCTTGTATTTTATTAAATTTTAAAACTTGCATATTTTTATTTTAAATAACATTTTGTACAAAGTTTGTACAAAATTTAAGTTCCATATATTTTTTAATTAAGTATTTTACTTTTTGTTATATTAAATTATCATTTATAATATACAGAAATTATTTTATTTTTGTATATTTTGTATATTTTAGTTTATGGAAAAAGCTCATAAAAGGCGCTTTGTTGCTGGCAAAATATTATATAAAATCGCATTAGGTGAATTATCAAAAATTATACAGAAAAAAAAAATTATTAAAAAAAAATATTAAAATAAAATTTTTTAATAAATTAAATGTAACTTAAATTGCATATTTTTTTTTTTTAATTTTTAAAATTTTTTTCTTTTTATTTTTTAAAAAATCTTATACACTAAAAAATATATTACATATAGTATATATATATAGAATTATATATATATTTATATATGTGTTTGTATAATTTTAATTATATGTTTCATAGTTTACTATAATTAAACTAAATTATATAGATTTTTACATTACTTTATTTAATTTTTTTAAGCATTAAACGCTATAAAACATAAAATATTTTTAAATAGTTTCATATAAAAAATTGTTTAGAGTATAAAATAAAATGAGCATTTATAATATGTAATAAATATATAGAAGTATAATTATATAAAAAAAGTTTGTTATTTTTAAATTAAAATTTGTTAATAATAAATTTTTAAATTAAAATTTGTTAATAATAATTTTTTTAAAGCAATATTTGATCTAATAAATGTTATATATTAAAATTTATTTTGTATATAATATACATCAGTAAAAAAAATAAATTTGTAAAATTATATATACTCTTTTATTAAAATAATAAAAAAAATTAAGCTGTAATATAAATTATAGTATATGAGTTTAATATATAAAATATAGATAAAATATAATAATAATATAATAATAACATTAAAACAATGAATAAATAAGGCTATAATATAAATTATAGTATATGAGTTTAATATATAATATATATAAAAAAATATAATAATAATATATATATGTTATAAATAATAATATATATAACATATAAAACTTTATAAAATAATTATAATTATAAAAATATTATATTTTTGTAATATAATATTTAAACTCTACAAATAAAATTTTTTTCGGTGAGGGAACTCAGAAGTCAATTCCAGACTTTCTGTCACTTAGCTAAGAAACACTATGTAATTATTAACAAAAAATATTATCAAGAAAAGAGAATAAAATTATTTTATATAATAATATAGATTTTAGCAGATTAAGATTGTATGACATTGGATTGGCGAGCAAAGTATTCAGGGTAGGAGCTTTCAGTATTTATGTAGTAATAATTTTATTAAAAAAATTCTTATGAAAAGTAGTTATGAAAATATAATTGCTTAATTTTCTGCTAATATTCTTGTATGTAAAAATCATAATTAAAATTTTTTTTTTTAAAACTAAACAAAAGATTTTATTTATTCATGTGTCTACAAAACATTATACACATATTATTTTTTTAATCATTTATTTTTTTAATTGCTTGGTTTTTAGATTTATTTAAATTTTTCTAATTATTTGGCCACCATTGAGTTCTTTGTGTTTATATCATTTTCAAAATTAGACTTAATAATATATTGTTTATACAAAAAACAATATAATACAACTGTAATATAATAATATATAAAAAATAAGATTTAAAAAAAATTAATTAAAAATTCATGAATAATATAAAGTTTAATTTTTAAAATAATAAAATTACATTTTTATTATTTTTAATATATTTATATATCTTTCCGAATATCTACGGAAAGATGGTCAGACGGTATTAGTACTAATACCTTGTTTTCACTATGTCATTTTAAATGAGAGTTATAATTGACTGGTGTGTCAAATGCGTTTTCATCATATGACAAGAATGCGAATATGACATCAAATGACAATATTTGTCATTGAAAATGATATAGTCAAAACGAGGCATTATAAATATCAAATATAAATATTGAATACAAAGTATTTGTGTAGTTTTGGATCAAAACCTAAGGTTTAAGATAGACCAAACAACTTAATTCGAGTCAATTACAAAAATGCTGAGAGTGAGTATCTCAAACTTGATCTATTCTAACTTAAATTAATTATTAGGTTTTTGTCTAAATATATTCCTCTTAATTAGCACTTTTCAAAACCGGACTATTATAGATTATAGAACAAAACCTGATATCTGCAACCTTTCTAAAACTCAGAGTGAAAACTCTGCCTATCTGCTCAAGCACTGCGAATTCCATACGACTTTCGTAAAACTTAATGATGTCCAGAAAAATACTATTAGATTTATCAATAGGTATACATTTTTTTTAAAGTTAATTTAGGAGATTTCCAACAGTTAACGCTCAGATCCCATATATCGTCTTGTAACATTGTCTCTATAGGTATAGGTATACATACGTAAACCCAGCACCGCAGGATCCACACCAGAGCGACGGATCCAGATCAATATATACTTGTCTCATTACGGTTTTTGTTACTTCTAGTGCAATAAAATAAAGGGTAAGCCACCAAGTTTCAAAATATATTGGATCATACTGAGCAATGTACAATAAGCATTGGGTCCATTGTCGCCTCTAAATCAGCAGAGTAGCAACCGAAGTATTTTTTATACTAGTCATATTTGTGAAATTTCAAGCCAAGACGGTATAACAATATCGGCTCGAATTTAATTTATGAACTTAAGGCGATTTCAACCAAAAGATATTTTAAAGATTTGAAAATATATATCATCAGGATTTCTTAATGATATATAAGAATTATATATGAATAACAATAACTCAAGAAAACTTAAAGTTTCAGTCGTATTTTAATTATTATTGTTACTATTTATATATTTTAATTAAATAAATTTCTCTATCATATATAGGTGAGAACAGATTTTGTTTTCTTTTTAAAACCCAGATTTAATAAATTATCTTTCTAGTTTGATTGGAAGTCGTCAATATTATTGTGGCCTTCTGAGTTAAAAGAAATCAAGATAAGTATACACATATATACTAAGTACTGAATCATAATGATTATTTAAATGAGTTAAAAAACTTTACATTATTATTGGGAATTATTTTTATTTCTTTATTGAGAGGTAATTATTAATAACCACTCAATTAATAACCACTTAATTATTTTTTACCATTTTCGTCATTAACTATTTAATGTAATTTTAATAATTTTAAAAATTAACTCAAAAAAAAAGTTTTTTATTTAATGTTTTTTATTTAAAAAATAAAGAATTAAAACAAAAATTATATTAATTAAAATTAATACTCATATACTTAATATAATAATTATATTGAGCATTTTTAATTTATTTAAATTCTTATAAGTATATTCATAAATTTTATTATGTATATTTAAATTAATTAATTTTTAATTTTAAGTTTTTGTATAAATTTAATTATTAATATTTTATTCACATAAGCCACAATTTACAATAATTACTATAATTATATATAATATAAGTTATATAAAGTAATGAGTGAAATGTTGGTAGAAAAAAAATAAAATTTAACCGAAAAATTATTTTTAAAATGATAGTGAAAATTTTTTAATGAATTTTTAATTTAACAATTTTCAATACTGAAGTCTTCTCTTGGTTTTTTTGTTAAGTACATTAATTTAAAAATTAAAATTTTAATTTAAGTAAATATTTATTATTATTTAATAAAAAATTTAAGTAAACCAATAAGTCAATTGTTATAATTTTAGGCAGTCAAATAAATCTTTTCTCTGTATTTTTTTAAGCACTCATTTCAATGTCATGTTTTTTAATTTAAAATTTATTATATTTTAAAATTAAATTAAATGAGAAATTATAAAAAAAACTTAGATTAAAAGTTGCTTTCTTATATTAAATTAAAGTATTTTAAAACTATGTTGTATGGCATGTTTAATATAAAAAGTTTAAGCAAATAAATTTTATATTTGCATTTAAGATGAATTATTTTGTTCATAATTTAAGGATGAGTGGTAATCACAATAAACATTTTCCAAAAAATATATCTAATCTTAAAGAAAGACATTTTGATCTTTATTTGAAGTCTTGTGTCTTTTGTGAGGTTAGGGTCGATTTGAAGATCTGTTATAAAATACACTACACTGTTAGGAATCAAGAGCTCTGTTTATTTCTATGTTCAATTCTAAAAGATCGAATATTAACAATAAATTGAGTCTTAATATTCAAAACAGATCGACTGAGAATAACGGACAACTTTCAAATCAAATGCCAATTTGGTAATGCAATAATGTTTAATTATATTAATTAATATTAATTTATTTATAATAAATTAATACTTTTAATTAATATTAATTACTATTAAAAAAACACTATTAAAAACACTCATTAAAAGAATTAATTTTTAATAACAATAATGCAAATAGATCATGTATTTGGCAGATATCTCGGCCACCCCTACTTGGTAATGCATGCCAGTAGGGTCAATACATTGAGTAATTTTCTCTAAAGCTATATATCAATATAGCTTATATTTTAGATATCAGAGTTAAGTTGCAAATTCTTACATGAAGACCAACAACAACAAGTAGATGCGCCATCTAGCTTAAAATAGTTGACTCTATTGTCAAATGGGCGTGCCCAAAAATCGGTATCATTCACATATTTGTATATGTTATATAGATGTTATATATATGTTATATTTGTATAGAACAGACTTTTATTTGCGTTAGAACAGACTTTTCAATATATGTGGTTTCTTTTTGATTGCAAATGGTTAGGTTCCCCCACAGATAATGTCAGCTACCTTTTGCAACTGAAGTAGGATGGCTCCGATATAATCAAATTAATACTCTTGGAAGTTAACAAAAACCTGACCATTCATATGGCTTGTTAAGGCTCTTTAAAGTCGTAAGTCTAAGGTTTTAAAACATTGCTCAGTTATATACTCTAAAGTAATCTCTACCTTTTCATTTTATATCTCCAGACGATTTTTAACCAAATTATTTCTTCATAAAAACTGCAGCTGTATTTTTATTCTTTAATTATAATAACAAGTGCATTTTTTGTTTTAATTAAAAAATATCTTCATCGTTCAAATTCCATCTTCTAAAATGTAATTTTTAACTTCGAAAGCTATGAAGTATTAATCTTCCTTACAGATCTGTATATTGTAGAAAATGTTTATTGTGCTGTTTATATTGAATGGATTATTTTATATATATAATTGAATTTATATTTATTTTATGTATAAATTAAATAAATAGTTTAAGGCGAAGTTGTCTATATTTTTAATTCTACTGAGGTGCTATAAATAAGGAAAAAACTAAACACAGATAATTCCTCATAAGCATTAATCTTGAAGATAAGAAATTTATATTATAAGGATTCTTTGTTGAAGGAAGTCAGTTTATAATATGTTAAGGCCTTCTATTAGAAAAATTGCGAGGACTACATTGTAGACTAGAACACTATTTAAGCCTTCTTCGATTTATATTATATTGTTAAATTGAATTCTTATATTATCATTAACTGATATATTGAATATCATTGAATATGTAATAGTTTATTTATTTTTGTTGCATCTTTTAGGCGCAATTTATAATTTGAAAAAATTATTGATATTTTATGAATTTTATATTAATAATATATTAATATTAATATTTTGGTATTATTTTGACATTATTTAAATACCGTCTGCATATAGTTCAAATATTTTTTTAAAATTATTTAAATATTATTTTAATAATAGTTTGATATTATTTAAGTATTATTTTAATAATATTTTAATATCATTTAAATATTATTTTAATAATATTTTAGTATTATTCAAATATTATTTTAATAATATTTTAACATTATTTAAATATTATTTTAATAGTGATTTAATATTATTTAAATATTATTTTAATAATGATTTAATATTCTTTAAAAATTATTTTAATAATGATTTAATATTATTTTAATAATATGTTAATATTATTTAAATATTCATATATGATTTAATAAATATTAAATTTTAATTAAATATCAATGATTATTGTAATTTCTGCATTTAAAGTTCCTCAAAATTATAGCACCTCGTAAATACATTTGAACTGATAAAATATAACTGAGCATTGAACTGTTTGCTTAAAATTAGTAAAAAATATCTCAAACTTAAAATTAAATTATTAAAATAAAATCTTAAATTAAGTAAAATTCATTGATTTATATTAATTACAATTTAAAAATTAAAAGCTAAGCTAGAAACTATTATTCTTTTCTTCTCTATTTTGGACTTTTAATAAATTTTATTTCTAGTACTTTCATCGGAACGCATATGGAGAGGGTTCGTCTTAGTCTAAAACCATTAAATTTATGTGGATTTGTTGAATGTTTTTTTTTGCTTTTATATTTAATTTTCTTCATTTTGTTCGCTTTAGTTTTTGTCTATTTTTCTATTTTTTATTTAAGTCGGTTTTTTCTATAATTTAACTTTAAATACGTTTTTCCACTCTAAATGCCTTCACAGGATTCTGGCGTTGATGGGAGCTTTTTAGAATTCCATTCACACTGCCGAATTCTTGCCAATTATTTCACCGCTGCGTGAGTGCACAAATTTTCCATCGAATTCCACTGTCGAATTCTGTTTTATGCTGCCAGTCGGTGTTTGCAGAGGTTGTTTCTCATCTCTGTGTGGTTGGAATGGAAAATGGATTAGTTGAATGCGATTCAAAAATGTAATTAATTAAAAAATTAAATTCAATACAATTTAAATAAATAATAAAATACTACAAATAATTATCAATTCACTAGGCTAAGCTATATCTAAGATTTAATTGCTAAAATGTTAAAAGCTCTTACGAATGATATCCATATTCAAATTTAATTTAAATTTATATTTATTGAAATTTAATAGAGTATTAGAGTATTATTATAAAAATTTAAATTCCAAAATCGTTTAAGTTTATTTAAAACTAATCTCAATGGAGGTATAGGCAGTCTATGGATATGAAACTTCTGCAAATTAACCTCCATGCCAGTTTTACATTAAATATTGAATAATAAATGCCAGCACATAGTCCTGAATTATTGTCCTATATGACTGAAACACGTAATGATTGGAAAGTCTAGATTTATATATATATATTATGTTGAAGCTGTTTTGAGCTAGTGCATTTAAGCACTTATACTCTTTTTTAACTCGAGGTATTTTCAAAACCCCTCCTTACACCTTGACAAGATTATTGTTTATCACTTCATCAGACTAAGCAATAATTGACCTCAGATCTGCATATTTTTGTATATTCTTCATTAATGCATCATAACTGTTTAATAAGATAAACATTCCTTTTCACATTTTATTACTAAAATTTCAGCGTACTGTAAAAACATTTTAGTTGTCGTCTCTTCCCACTGCAATACATTTCTGAGTACGGTCCAGGGCCTAGATTTTACTGGATTTTAGTGATAAGAAATAGATAGCAGCACAGATAAGATGAAGTACTAATTGAACACAACAGTAAGTCAACTGCATTTATTTTAAACTGTAATGGCAATACTATCAGCTGGCCACAACAAGCCACTGATCGGGCTGGTTCGGACGGAGGCTACTCGACACGGCCAAAGATGAATTTGAAGCGTTAATTGAAGGAAGAAGGGTTGACTGTGTCACTGTCTATCTCTACATGGCCTTCTTTCTCCAACTATCGTTTAAATTTGTCTTTGGCCGCGTTGAGTAGCCTCCGTTCGAGCCACGCCGATCAGGAGTGGAGTGCTTAAATTGGGGGAGCACTACCAGGAGTGTGGAGAATGAATAAAGATGGCTCATCGCAGAAGGTATTTGAAGGAGTAGTTGCAGAAAGAAGGCGTAGAGATAGACCGTGTCTTCGTAAGAGTGATCAAATTGGGGGAGCACTACTTGGAGTCTGGAGAAATGCGTGTCTAGCAGAAGCGGCCGCTGTGTCAGGTCGAAATGCTGTGTCAGGTCGAAATGCTGTGTCAGGTCGAAATACAGTAACGGGTTGTATAAGTTAAATAATTCTTATATACGCATAAGCCAACATTACTTTCAAACCTGAAAGTGAATGTATAATTCTTAAAATTCGGTATGGAATACTCAAGAAAGTTGTTGAGAATTTGAAACCATAGATATAACTGGTAACTGTGACGTCCCATGAAAACTATATATCATTAAATTATTGATCGAATGAAGAAGTCATTCCCTCAACTTGTGTCAGTAATTATCATAATGTCAAATACTAAAACCTTCATAAAAATATCCTAGGTTATCTAAACGTTTAAATAGATGAGATATCAAAGCATATTGATCACTATCATAATCAATGTAAGATATAACATATATGGGTATAAAATCAGTTGATAGAGCTTTTAAAATTCTTAACAACTACTATAACTATAACTATAACTATAACTATAGCTATAAACATAATAATATAATTAAGTTTATTAATAAATAAAGTATTATTTAATATACCACAAATTAGCTACGATTATTTATCTAGTAATGGAATTAATATGTGCAAATATTTAGGTAAATGAATATGTAGTAGATTAGGTACGTACAATGGCGATGTCATTGGTGATCCACCAAGCTTAACTGGTGGTGGTAGTGGTAGCGGTGATGGTGGTGGCTCCTTAACTAACTGCCCACTGCAATAAGGTAGCGGGAAACGCCAACCGTAAAGACTGCTTGGTTAGAATGTTTGGATATGGTTGGAGTAGTAGTAGAAGTGATGACAGTATTTTTTTTTGTTTTTTTTTTTGGTTTTTTTTTTTGGTATTTCATATGTGGCACAGAATGTAATAATGGTTGGTTTAAGGAATGCAAATGTATGATGTGAAACAAAATGTAAAGGCGATTATGTATTGAAAATGAAACATAAAGTTAAATAAAAAAAAAAAATAAATAATGGAAAAATACTTAAATTTAAAAACTGAATAGCAGAAGTAAGTCAAAAGCTGAAGATTAAAAACTTGAAAAAAGAATTTCTATTTACAAAGAAAAAAGTAAAACCTTGAAAGCAGAACCAATAAAGAAGAAAAAAAAGTAAGTAATATGGAAATTAAGGAACTTAAAATTAAAAAAAAATCTAATAAAGTAATAAGTTACTTTGTCTATGTGGTGGATGGAAGACTTGTGGGTTTCAGGTTTGGGATTTATGTATGTACTTTTAACTATAATATTGCACTAAAAATGTATGTACACTAAATTGAAGCGAGTAAAAAACTAGGTAAATTATTTATAAAATAAATTAAAATTATAATTACACAAAAATCAAAGAATTTCGATTTAGTATCAATGATTTTGGTCTTGCAAACACCCAAGTGTATTCAAGATGCATGTTCCTCGTTTCAGTTATATTTTGACTTTATTGTTGAGCATGAGTTGAATAAATATTCATTGTGTTATTTTTGTTAATTTTTGTTAATTTTTGTTAATTTTATAATTTTGAAAAAGAAAATGATAGAGGAAAAATTAAAAATTAATCACCAATTAATTCTGTTAGAAAATTTTTAGTGCAATATTATTTTAATAATTTATTATTATTTTTTATTATAACTGTTATATATATTTAAAAAATATGTTAATTATTAGATACATACCTGCCCAATCTGGCTTCATCATCAATTTCTGATGGTGATCGCTTCGCTCGTCGACACATTGTGGCCATAACACCCATACGCACTGTCATGCAGCAGAGCAAATCGATTATGAAGAGCAGAAGTAGTACTCCACCCACTGCAATGCCTACAATTGCTGCTGAAGAAAGCACTTGTCTTTTGGCCATTTGAATGACATCAACACCTGTAGTGTAGGAAAGATGAATAAAATAAATTAATTGTAGCTTTTAAATTTTTAAAATAGAGATTGGTTAAAAAGATTTTGCACTAATACTTATACAGAACAATTATATTAAAATATATTATATTTATTTAAAATTTTACAATATTTAATTGACTATATTGCTAGAAAGAAATATTTGATTTATATAAATATATAATTTTTTTTTATATTTATATGAATATTAAAGAATATAGAAAGTTGCTTCTGTGTACTTAAGAATCTTATGAAAATATTGAATACATTTATTTTATAAAAGCACAATTTCATATTGGAATCAATGGCAATGAGAACTTGGACAACATCGATAGGGCTGAATCAAAGCTAGAATTCTGTAGATCAAAGTCTTATTACAGAATATATTGCTCCACGACAAAGTCTCTAATAAAAAAGTGGATTGTCATCGAAAGGGACAATCGACTTCGGGATTGGGGTAAGAATATTCCTAAGGCAATTCATGCTTGTCGTAACAGATGACTGAGATGCAATGGGTAGCGTTCCATACTGTTTGGAATAGTAGTAAGTGAGTTTCATTTGTGGCATCCGATTAGGGGTTTAACTCTGATACCATGGGGTCAGGAACCACACCTTTGGTTATCCTGAAAAGTTGTGGTTGGCGTTTAATCAGAGTTTTATGCTGGCCGTGTTTTAAACCCAAATTTAATCGGGTAAAATGTCTAGATTCATTTACTTTCATTTGATGTGAAGTGGCATTTTATGAAAGACCTATAGTTACATTCTGCATGGCTACCAAGTTTTGATCTTTGATCGGAGAGGAATACTAAAATTGGAGCTGCTATCCTTATCTGGTATTAAGAAAACTATTACGGGAGACATTTCGGTGTTCATTTGAAGGACTGAGTATTGTCTAATTAGTTAGAGTCAGTTGTTAACCCAGAAGTTCTATCAGGGAGCAAGAATACTGAAATTGAAGCTTCTATACTCGAATGGTATTAAGAAATCTTTAATGGTATACTATTTTGTGTTCAGCGGAAGGGCTGAGAATTATCTCTTCAGTTAGGATCGTTTGAAGGATAAAGAAGGTAAGCAGTTGTGATAATATAGTTAATGTGAGTGTGATTAAAGATCTCAAAGAAAAAGCTAAGTTATTTCGGTAAATTATTATGTTATTAAAATTATGTTGAGCCTTTTCCGAGTTAGTGCATCTAGGCACTTTTACATTTTAATAGCTGGTGGGTTTCTGCAGAGTCCCATCCATCTCACTGCGTCAATGTACCATAGAATATTTCAAATAATAGTATAGGTGGAATATTTATAAGATATGTCATATCTCATGACTAGCAGTTTCAGTAATAGAATTTATTTTGGATGTAATAGCTTATAATTGGGAAAGCAATAGAGGTAAACGTAAAAATTAAGCTGGCTGAGTTTTGAAGAACCATGGATATTGGGTTGGTTCTTACAGTTGTTATTTACGTAGTATAATATTTTCATGTTTAAAAAGAAAATATTTAAGCAATTTTCTATATTCCTTCTTAAAATTAATTTACATATAAATTAAAATTAAATACAAAATTATTTATTTTAAATTTATTTTATATTAAATTATTATTAATATAGTTAAAAATTATTGTTTTATTTTACATTTTTGTGTGTGTATGTTAAAATATTTCCAAAAGTTTAAAACCATATGAAATGAAAGGAAATCAAGTCAAATCAAAAAAAAAAAAAATTAAAAGAAAAACTAATTTAAAAGTAATAATTATTTCAAATCAAAATAAAATATTATACAATGAAACTAAAATAAATTAAAGGAAATATGAATAACAAATGCACCAATTGCCAATTAAAATTATATAAAAGCAATTATTATATTATACTCGGATTTTGTTACATAGAATTACGAAAAGGGCATGCAAAGAGACTTGCGTTTTATTTAAAATATATCAAAAAATATTTAAAATAATTAAAATAGAATTGACTTAAATAATAGCAATATAAATATCAATAAATAATATAACAATTCAACATAATGCAAATTATATACATAAAGGAAAATTTTTTTTCAAAAATTACAAAGCATATTTGAAAAGTTAAATTTATAAAGTAAATAAATACCATAATAATTTCTTTTAAAAAATATACAAATTCAAATATTTATTATGTATATATATATATAGAAGAATTTGATTTCAAATGAAAATATATAGAAAAGCATTTCAAAGGACAAAACGGGTGAGGCGGCGTTGTGATATTGCAATCTTGTGGTTTGTTTCAAATATTTGTACTCGGATTTCTGTTTGTGGTGAACAAAAAATAAACAAATAAACGAGAATTTGTTTTACTTATAATAAATTTAGGTTACCAAATTTTAATTAAAAATTTTTAATACTTTTCACCAATAGTTTAATAATTTTTTAGTTATTTTTTAAAATTTAATTTGATTTTTTAAAAAAATTCTATATAGAAAAAGTCTACAAAGAGTTATTGTGTTAAAATTGCTTAGTGTTTGTTAGTAAAATAATTAATATTTTTTTCTCTAACTAATAAATGAATAAATGTATTTATATATATAAATTGTTAGCTTAGGAAAAAATTTGTTAAATAGAAATAAGTTTTCGTTTTGTTGATTGGTTTAATTTTTTTTGTTTGTACATTTTTATATGTGTATATATAGATATACGTGATTAACATTTCAAAATAATTTAATATACATAAAAACACAATTAAAAAAAAATATATATATATATAGATATTCAAACAAGTTAAATGTTATTTTATTTACTACATTAATTACCTGAAAAGTAGAGCAAACATATTTTTGGTAGTATTTTCACACAATTTTTTTATGAGTTATGAGTGCTGCAAAAAATTATTAATTCACTTTTGCACACACAAAGTAAAACTATTTATTTTTTTCATAATTTTAAATAATATTCAAAACTTTTTCATTGTAAAAACATTTTATGTTAAATTAGATTTTAAAAAAATAATTTTACAATAATACAATAAAGGTAATAGTAAAAAATTAGTTCAATCCAAATTACTAAGTTTTTGAGGTTTGATTTAATTAACATTTTTTTTAAATAAAAAATTACTTTGTAAGGTTTAAAATATAAATAAAATTAAAAATTATTGAATATAAAAGTTGAATTTCCTTCTGTACTATTTATTGAATTACATATTTCTGTACGTAATATCGAAATTGTTTTTTTTAGTTACAAATTTAACTTTCACCAAAAAATATGCAATAAAATAATTATTTTCATATATCTGCATATTTTATTTTTGCCCAAAAATATGCAACTGAAAATAATATGAATTAATTTCGTTGTATCAATAAGCAATTATTCAAAAATCAGTACCGGAGGAAGAGAAGAAAATATTAAAATATTTATTTATTCAAAATAATAAATATAAGTTATTATTTTTTTAATTGGTTCAATTAAAATAAAAATAAATAATACCTTGAAAGATAAATATCTACATTTAATTGACTCTTCACTAAAGTTCAAAAAGAAATTCTTCTGCATCATATTGTTATTAAATAATTAAGTTTTATTTAATTATTTTTAAGTCAATATAATTTATGCTATGAAAACACATTTATATTTTGTATAAGTTATTATGTAAATCTAAGTATACTTAAACATATAATTAAAATGTATTGTATTAAATTATGTTATTTACAGCTTCTTATTATTTTGATTTAAATAATTTGGTTATTAAATGTTATTCTTGCTGTTTTGAAACCACAGCATAAACAGGCGGGTTAATTAATTAATTTAAAGATTTCGTCTAATTGGTACATTTAGCTAGTAACAATTGATTGGGTGGAAGAAACGCATAATTTCATAAATATGTAATTATTTCCGAGTAATAATAATAACAAATAATTCTAGTTGAGGAATATATTGTATGTTCGTATTTATATTAAATTTTTCTCCTCACTTAACTACACATGTGTATAAATATTTACTTGTCCTAAACATATTATTCTATATGCGTTAAAAGTAAACTGCTACGAATAAAAGTATAATGTATGAAATTTACAAAAGCTTGTATCTTAAGCATATAAATTTATTATTTCTTATTAATAAATTTTTCAACTGCATTTTCATTTACAAATGATATTTTCATGAATGTTACTTTTTACAAGATGTAATCGAGATTTAAATAATTTTCTAGTTAGTTTTAATTATGCATATTTTATTATTAGTTTATCTAATAGTACGCAATATATATTATGTACCTAAACAAATAGGGTCAAAAAACAACAAAAGTTTTAAATATACTTAAATATTTGACTTGTTTGAAGTGTCACGGAGTTTAAAGTTGATCATATCTATTATAATAATATTAAAGTATAGTTGTCATACATAACGTATTATTAATAAATCAACTATTTCAATATAACACATATTGTATAATATAAATTTTGTTTAAGGCAAAAGTTTTATAATTTATACCTAGAAAAACTTCAGGTGCTCTTGTTGCTTCCGGAATATTAACAAAAATAATTTTTAGTCAGAAAAAGAAAAATAAATTAAAAATTATAAACTATATTTTATAGATGACTTCAATAAATTATTTGAAATACCTTATAACTTTTGCTTTTACCTTGATATTTATTAAAAATTATTTTGTTTTTCAAAGCGATCTATACAGATAATGCCTTTACAGATTTATAATTACATTATTTTTAATGAAATTGGGTGAGACTTTATCTTATGAAACTAATATATTAATTAACGAGGTTAGTTCAAAACAAAGAGAGGAACAAATATTTACAAAAATATAAACGTTGAGGAGAGTTGGGAGATATAATTAAATAATTAATTAAAAAACTTAAAGTTATAATCCTCCTCAATTTACTCATCAATCTCGTATTTCTAATATATTGATTATTAGAAATACGAAATATTATTTCCTATGACGACAATAATTTATCGAAAAGAAAAATTTCGATAAATTATAATTTAAAAATTCTGTTATTCCTAAAA